GGAGGGAGGGGAGGGAGGAGAGAGGAGGAGGAGGAGAGAGAGAGAGAGAGAGAGGGGGGAGATCGACATGGTCGACAACCGCCCCGAAAAAAAGGCGCCGCGACGCGGCGGAACGCACGCGATCGCGCGCGCCTCAATGCATTCCAGATTGCGATGAAGGGGGAGGAAAAAAAACGCGCGATAATGCCACGCCTTTTTTTCGCGCCGCAATATCCGAGAGAGGACTGTAACTGGAGAGAAAACTTTGAGGAAAGGAAAAGATACCGGTCGGGTATATGGCCGGCGCTCCACTCGCACGCATATGTTGCAGAGGTGTCCGCGACGATATTTTTTTTTTTTTTATTAAATTCTGAAAACAGGCTCCACCTGCTCTATTTCTTCCTGTCGGATGTAGATTGATAGATCGCTGGAGAGACATCGTGGATGGATTCTCGGAAGAATCTTCGGACCATTACGAGTCCTCGGGGATTCGTGGACGATCCTCTCTTTTGGGGAAAACTTTCATTTTAACTTTATTCCTATTCTGACCCCTTTCTATTCTTACCGTTAAGCCCTGTTCTGCATTTGAATTTATATTTGTACGATTGTCGTTTGGATACAATACAATTGCACACAGAAAGTGATGTAACGTCTCGCCTGAATAAAGTCATCAAAAGCAAGGTGCGAAGATTTTAAAATGAGATATTAGTAAGAAGGAAAAAAATACATCTTGGATTAAATAACAGCAAGATTTAAGTATTTAAGCGGTAAAAATTTCTCTCAAGAAAAATTTCGATACGATCGAATCTTCATTCAGATTAAAATTTGATGTAACAAGTTCCCTTATAGAGATATGCAAATGAATTTAAAAGTTCTGAAAGTTTTCCGCATTCGAAGAAGCTTTTAAAAAGTTTTTCAATCCAAATCAATCGAAATTAATTAAGGATGACTTAGATGCAAAATAAAATAAAATCACCTTTAATCCACAGATACAATTCTTGTAATTTCTTAGGGGGCAGTTTGAACTTTTAAATTTGCGTACGGTTATTGAATTACGCTTTTGATTAATTACCGTTATTTTTGTTTGTTGCAGGGAGAACGATCAAATAATCGGCTCCTACTTAGAGATCGAGGACGTCACTCTCGAGGATTACGGCGAGTACAAATGCGAAGTCAGCAATGGCGTCGACGAGGAGATCACGTTGGCGGCTCACGTATACCGGCAAGGTCAGTAAAACTGTCGAAAATCTCTTCGAGACTCCATCCCGTCGTTGAAGATATTCTTTATCCCAAGACATAAAATCTACTATCTTGTGAGAAAATAGGAATTCAATAAGGATAAAATAACCTTCTCGAGCTCCTTAATTGTTGATATTAATTCGATACTTTTACTCGATCAACTTACGATTGGGCGTTTTATTTACAGGAGCGTTTTTGCTCTAATATTGATAAGGTTTTATTTTCTTTTTTTTTTTTTTTTTTTTTTTTTTTTTTTAATTTGATTACCATTGATCGCGCTTGAAACTCAAAAAGCTTTTTAAAATGAATCAGATTTGAAATATAATACTCAGCGACGGATTAAATAATTCCACTTGTTATTTTCCGACCACGATTGTTAATTACGACGCAAAAACGAATTCAATCTGGATGCATTATTGTTCGTGTATAAAAACTAACAGTCGAATTCATTTTAATAATCGTCAGAAATATATTGACCGACTAACAAATCACGCGCCGCCGATTTACTTTATTGGTTTTAATTATTATACGACAAATTAATTTTGTGAACAAAGTGATACAATGCCACGATAAAATGCCACGATAAAATCTTGTTTTTAAATTGGACTTATTGGATTTAATTTATCGTCAAATTTAATATCACGCATGTTTACGCTGTAGCACCCCATTGTTGTTACCCGATATTATTTTACGTGAAAGTGAAAAGTTTTTTTTATCTTTACAAAAAATCTCTTACGCCTTTTATTAAAATTAAAACATTTTGTAGGCAAACCATTTCTCTGCTAGAATTTATTTATTTAGAAATAAATGTTTCTAAAATTAGAAAAACTTTCTTATTTATTTTAATTTTAATTTTACTTTAAAAATTATCCCTGTATCTTAGAATTTGTTTGTATATATTTAAGAATATATGTTTCTCAAGTTGGAAAGAATTTTTGATTTATTGTTTTTAAATGTTTTATTAATCTCAACTAAGTATTTTAATTAGATTTGGAAATTGTAAAGTTTAAAATTCACGTTATTATTATTATTATTCGCTTTATTATCACATATTTTCGTATTTATTACTTTTCATATAAAATTTCGGATTTACTCTTTTTGATTCGCAGAGCCGCAATTCGTATTGAGCCTTCCGAACGGGTCTTGGAGGAAGTCTCTCCTGCTGGCGGTCCTCGTCCTGGTTCTGTTACTATCAGCTGGCGCATTTTATGCGCGTTGCTGGCTGCCACTTGCACTGTTTTGCAGAGACAAGTTTGGTCGCCTCGAGGAAAGCGGTGAGCTCAGAAATCGTAAATAACTTCACCGCGCGATCTCCGCCATTCAGCAGTCGCAGTAAGAAACCCCCTCCCCCCTCCCCCTCCCCCTCCCCTCTTGCGTGTTGCGGATATCCTAGAATTCCGCAGAAATTTGAAAATCGACCCTTGAAGATCTGTAAATCCTAGGAATTCCTTTCCGTATTTCTCAAGAATTCGAGGATCTCGTAAAGCCAAAGGCAGTGCGACTTCTTAAACTCGAGCCGGAGCCTCTTTCGCGAAAATTTCTCTTTTTACTTTTAGAAAATAAATATTCCAAAAAAAAAAAAAATGTGGACTAATTTTGCGGAATTTTTCCGGAAATAAAAAAGTTCACATTTTCGCGGAATGAAAAAATTCGCGGACCCTAAATTCCAATTATAAGATTTCCGAAAATCTCCCGGGAAGGAAGCACCAAGGACCAGAATTTAATTTTCTCGGTCTAAGACCCTGTCTTCCCACCTTCCCAGGCTTCCCTAATTTAAAGGCCCCTAAAACGTCGCGGAATCTCGTTGCCCGAAGACAAGGATACGGCTTAACATAAAATTCAAAGTCGCATGGATCGCCGGGGATTCCTTCCTAATCCCGAGACTAAGGAGATCCTGATGGGCCGAAGGAGATCCTTCGTCCTCCTTATCCTTCTTGCTGCTGGCTCGCCTCCTTCTTGCGACGACAAATTTCGCGGTGAGGAGGACTGGGTGTTGCTGTCGCGGTAATTATCAGTGACGCTTTTTCGTCGGCTTAATTGCGACTCTTAATTACCGCGAGACTCCGGTAGGAAAATTAAAATGGTTGTTTCTTAACGTTTCTTTGTTTTTTTTTCCCCCCCGTTTTATTGCCCGCCCCCGCCTTGATCCTTCCGGCTTTCTTCCCCGCGTTCCCGCTCCCGTCTCGTCGTCGCCTCAATTTGTTTAAATAATATGCTGATAACGGCGCGAGAGAAATCTCCGTGAGAATCCTCTCCTGGTAGTTTGCGTTCTAAGATTCCTCCAGTTTATATTCTCTTTTTTTCTCCAACTGCACCGTCCGTGAGTCTTATGTATTGCAAATTGAAAGGGGGTGAATTTTTTATGATATTGTTTATCTTAAATGAACACACGGGACACAGGAGGGATGATCTTGTAGGTGAGAAAACGCGATAGCTCTTGTTTTACAGCTGGATAATTTCTCGCGATAATGAAATAAGAAAAAGGATTAAATCGCAATAATAAATTTTCATAAGAGAAAAATTCATAAGAGAATTTGTTTGGAGAGATGAGAAAAAAATTTTAAATTTTGATTCTGAAGAAAATCAAGTTACAGCTCTTGGTTTCTCTTGGTGATAATCTTGGAATCCTAGAATTTTAAGTTTCGTGGAATT